CTTTCTCATACTGCCTGTGCTGCAGCACCTCTTTTCACCCTCCGTCTGAAACCAGAGCCCAGTCTGCTCTGATTGGTTAGCTGGCTGGCTCTGTTGTGATTGGTCAACCCCTTAGAGATGTCCCGCCCCTTACAGGGATTGTAGCCTTCGCAGACCATTGACATGCACAGAAACCTACACAACATACTACAGGAGAGGGACAACATCAAAAAGCATAATAGTCTTTCAGACAAAAACAGCGCACTCTAGATTAATTAAAATATATGTCACAAGGACATGAATGTATGACCTTGTAAGTTATCTTTTCATTTATATATATTTTTTTATTTTTCTCAGAGCGAGGCTGCGTCAGGAAGCGTGAGAGACGTGCAGCGGGATCACAGGAGGTATGTGTACATTGTTCTTTATTTAATTATGGTTCTGTCGCCGTCTTTCCAACAACGGCAGACTAAACTTGGAGTGCGTCAGCGCAAACACATACAAGTGAGGCATCGCATGGAAAACTCTGCTCAACAGGGAACTACTAAACTGGACTCAATTAGATTAATCCTTTGTTTTGACCGTCCGTTTGGAAAGAAACCAGTGCAGAAACCAGGTCGCTGGAGGTGAAGCTGAGTGGTGTTAAAGCGGGTATAGGAGTTTGAGAAGCTGTCACATCCCGTTCACTGCCAACACGTACAATTTAAAGTACATTGTTTTATGTGAACCATGATTTTGATTAATTGTATTTGGACAGGGTGAACACAGCCTTCCTGGACACACTCGAGGGTCGAGGCAAGGAGACAAAGGAGGAAACAAAGAGTCTCTTCTCAGCTTCTGAAGACTTTAATTACCCGTCTCACCTGAACCCAGAGTCAGAGCACAGCTACTTGGAGTGGAGCGAGGAAGCTGGTGAGCGTCTCTCCTCCGTTTCCTGTTTCTCACGCCTTATTTTAGCCCCGGCTGGTTAACCAAACCTAAATCAGACATGTGACAAGAGTTGCCCACCTCATCCTTTCCTCGGAGGGACTGTGATTGTGTGTTTAGTCTGCGTTGAATCAAAGGCTCTACTCCGTGCTGCAAATTAAAAATATGTAGACAGGAAGTAATGCGTAGTGCTACTGACGCTCCTGGCATTCAAATCCTGCTGATAGTTGAAGTTTGTGGGAAATGTGTGTGTGAGAATAATGAGTAAGAAGAAAAACATGTGAGTAAAAGCACAAACTGTTAGGCTAGTTTGGGAACATTGCAGGAACACACACACACACACACACACACACACACACACACACACACACACACACACACACACACACACACACACACACACACACCCACTCAAACACACCCACTCAAACACACTATCTAATTATCTCCTGTCAGTCAGAGGAATATTCTCTGGAAACTCGTCTGACAGACTCTCGGCGGGCGGCCAAATGAAAGCAGTCCCGCCCGTCTGTAATCATCTCAGATTGACTTTCTGAGTCTAATACCTGAAGGGATGCCGTGCAGCTAGGAAACCTGCCACTGTCATCGCCTGCCGCACTTAAGCACTTAACAACTACATGTTCTGTTATTTTGTTTGATTTATTTTTTACTTTTCCAATATGATCCAGTTTACTATATGCATATATTCCACACTCTTAAAACAGATGGTTCCACACTCCTAATCAGTTCCATGTGGACATGTTGTACAAAACGCTCTTTAAGGTCACAGAAAGGTTTTCAATTTAATGAAATACAGTTTATATAATAATGAATATACCCTAATTGAAGAAGAAGAAGAAGAAGATTCAACTTATTGTCATTACTTAGTACAGGTACTATGTAACGAAACGGTTTCTCTGCATTTGACCCATCCTAGTGTTAGGAGCAGTGGGCTGCCATTATGTACGACACCCGGGGAGCAGCGTAGGGAACGGTGCCTTGCTCAGGGACACCTCGGCAGCACTTGGTCTTTTCGGGACTTGAACTGGTGACCTTCCAGTTGCCAAGCCAAGTCCCTATCCACTTCGCCACCACCGCTAATAATATATTCAACAATCTCGTCATAAAAAAACATATTTGAAATCCCTTCGAACGCATGAATTGGCAACACCCATGGCGATATGCAAGTAAAGAAGTAATAATTAATAAAGGATTTGCAAAATATAAAAATACAGACCCGAGGGCTTTTAGATAATTAACTAACTTCTATCTTGTCCTTTAACACAGTTATAAGTATTATTTCAAATTCATATCAGTCCTGGCGCTGCCGCTACGGGCACAATTTTGAAAAACCACAACATTCCCAATCCGGGGTAAACTACACATGCAAGCCTCTTAAAGTAACATTTGAACCAAAAGCTTAAAGGGGGGGAAAGCTTGCTTCACAGATCATGTGTGAAATAAGATTGTACCAGCTCATCTACAAAAAGAATGAAGTATATGTCCAAATGATGTGCATGAGAATGAGAGAGGACTCTGTACTCTCTATCACACAGAACCGTCTTTAACAGGGCCGTAGTGGGAACATTAATGGACACACTTGTCTGTTTTGTTTCCTGTGTGCTTTCAGAGCCTGATTTGAAGAGACTGATGGAGAGCTTTCCAGGATACAGCTCTGACTTCCTGGAGGAAATCCTGGTTCAGTGCAACAGGGACTGTGAGCAGGCCTACGCTCTACTACTCAACTGTGCAATGGATTAACTTGAACACATTAGTATTGTGTTTGAATCCCTCGATTATAAAGAAAAAAGCTAAACCTAAGTGTGTGACTTTGGTGGTGGATGATTGTAAATGCGGACTACACATTGTGGAGGAAATTCTAATGCCCTTGAGAGAAACTGATAAGTGACTCTTTGACAAAGTTTGTCTTTTGTTATATTGTATAAAGTAATAAAGAAAGTAAAAACACAAGTGAAATCTATCTCAAATGCAGGAACAGAGCAACGTCATCCTCAGAGGATAAAGAAGTTCTGCACCCAGAATACAGTAAGATAGATAGATAGATAGATAGATACAGAACATATCTCTGATTGGCTGAAACACCAAACAGATCATTGCAGCATTACCCATAATCCCCTCTGTTTCAGCCCTGTTTCCAAAGTGCTGATTCTCTGTCTGTTACTTTAGATGAAAATAAGGAGCCCCTCCCCACGCCCCTCTGAGAGAGATTTGGTTACAAAGAATTCAATGGTGCTTTAGAGGAGATTCAGGTGATAAGGTGTGTGTTTGTGGGGGGGGGTTACCTTAGTTGCTGATTGGCTAATGGTTACACAAGACAAAACATCGTTATGACATCATAAAGTGGCCAAAATCTGATCAGCTCATTTTCAGACAGGTTTTTATAGAAATGGATCAAAAAGAGAGAGAATCTTTGTTCCTGAAACTTTCAGAGTCTCTTTCCACAGAGGGGACACATGTTGATGTAGAAGAGACATGAAGAAGAGGGGACACATGTTGATGTAGAAGAGACATGAAGAAGAGGGGACACATGTTGATGTATAAGAGACATGAAGAAGAGGGGACACATGTTGATGTAGAAGAGACATGAAGAAGAGGGGACACATGTTGATGTAGAAGAGACATGGAGAAGAGGGGACACATGTTGATGTAGAAGAGACATGAAGAAGAGGGGACACATGGTGATGTAGAAGAGAAATGAAAAAATTGATTTGGC